ACCCCCCCCCCCCCCACCCAAATCTCCCTTGCTACCATAGCTATATCTATAAAAAGACAATGACCCAGTTTGTCATCAAACTTGTCATAGCAACTTTCAGATGGAACTGGGATAGTAAATCCATAATTGATCGTCCCTAGTCTTTTTCTATCTGTTTTTCAGCCTTTATGTAGTGTGCAGTCAGATGCTCTTTCTTTCCAAGCAGAAAACGTCAGAGCAGAAAAAGTCTGTGCAAGTCAACATGCCCTTCTACTGACCTTTTATGCTCTGACATATGACACTCCTGCAGGAAAAACATGAGACATTTGAAGGTTATTTGGCCACATTTTGCTGGAATGCTGGCTTGGGTAGATGAATAATGGATTAGAGTCTTCCTATCTGAATGTTATCATACTGTAGTATTTAACTGTTTATTGATGCAGCGTTTTCCTCTGGGTGTATTTTTCAATTGATAAGCGTATATTCTAGTGAATTTATGTAGTGCATTGACACCTACTATTGATTTTCTCAATTTGGTAAAAATAAAGTGTACATTTATAGAATCCACTTCATTAGTCAATTCATGTCAGGGTCCATACATTGCTACATGTAGTATGATTGATATCTGATCTAGGTCGAGTGAGTGATATTTGGCTTCAGTGTTTTATTGCCCTTATTTTAAGTTCCTCATTGAGATTGTCTCATCTCTTGATTCCTTGATTGTTTTGGAATTATTCTAAATGTAATTACAGCTAGTTCTGATTAATACCAGGATTATTGATTGACCCTTTTGTATTGGCTTTATGTCAAGCTGCATTTATTACATCAATACATTTGCACCCACTGAGCCAAGATAAAGTATTCTTGTGTATTTTTTTTTGCAATATTTACATGTAGTGCTGGACACAGTTATAAGAGCTAAGGATTATTCAACTTCAAATGTTTTTATTTCTAATCTTATTACTTGCATTTAATTGTCATTTTTGCCCTGTTTCAACAATATCAGATGCATGTTTCCTTATAAGTGATTCTCATATCTTGTGTCTCGTGTCGTATTTCATTTGCTGGCAGTGTTAATTTTGCAGTGTTTCTTTCAAGAACTAGTTAGTGAAATTAGTTATCACCTCACAGCAAAGCCGATAATTGTACATGTCAGTTATTACAGGTGCTAACTGAAATAAAGAATTAATATCATGTGTTTTCAGAATTTTGCAAATTGTAAAAACAGAAGTGATATTTATCATTATTTCATGAGCAAGCATGGAATTGTTGTTTTATAACATAGGGTAAATACTGCGATCAAAAATCAGCTGTTTTCAGGAAGTTTTTGACCTTGCTGGAAAGTGCTTGGATCTTTGTCAAAACTCTTCAGAAGCTGGTTTGGTATTCTTCAGAGTCTTCAGGAAATCTTCAGAAACTTTAGTTGAATTTTTTTTACTGTTCGTCTGGTTTCTGGGCAGCAGAAAGTTTTAGGGAAATGCTTTTTGTCTTAACCAATCCGAACTTGGTGATTTTGTTCTCTATATTTACAAGGAAAGTAATGGTTGTTGTTAATTTTGAAAGTAGTTGCTTTGAGAATTAGACCTTTATGAGGGCTGGTAAGACTGTTATTGATACCATTGGTGATTCAAATGTGATATTGCTGCCTTAACTATGGAATGTTCTAAGTAACAGCATGATAATATAAGTACATATTTTGAGGGATTATAGTGCAAGCAGGACACTAATATTAAGGATATTTGGCAGCCTGAAGAACTGTAGTATTTAATGTGAAGGGCAAATTATGTATATTGTACAACTACAGTAAAGGTGCAGTTAAGTTTTGTGCTCAAGTTTTGAGTAATCTCAAATGTTTGGAGAATAAAAGTAAGTTTTCTTAAAAGTGTAGGTTGTCTAATACAATCTGATATCGGTATCACAAAGATTGCTGTTTGGAAGTTTTATTTACTTGAGCAATGTCAATTTTTGTATTTTCCAAAACTGGTGGATTACTAGGTTTTCTAAATACACTGTAGTATGTGAACTGCCTTTTACCGTTTCCTAACAATAAATTCTAGATCTTGAAAGTATGAGAGTGCTTGAAGATACATGTTTCTACATATTGTTTGTAATCTAAAAACTTTGGGACCTCATCCATGTCGATGACACTGATTAGGAGTGTTACCAGCACATTCACTTACAATGTGGTCGTTTGCATGCAGTTCTATAAAAAAAAAGGGGTAGTGGATTGTAGCACTGATCAGTTGCTGTTGTACATTTACATTTGTTTCCTCTGTTTTGATGTTTTCCTCTTTCCTCTGGAGCCAGTTTTCTTATCATCTTTGTTACAGTGAAGTTCAGTCTGTGCTGTACATACATGTACATATATATGGCTAGTTTTCTCATCGTCTTCATTACATTGTAAGCTTAGTCTCACTCAGTGTCTGTGTTGAAGATGGTTGGTCATGAAAACATCAAAAGTACATGTAGCCTCTTATCGTAGTGTTTTTAAAATAATGATTAATATAAAATCAGTGCCAGTTCATGTTCAGTCTTAGCACAAGTCCAGACAAAATACATGGTAAGAGTTTTCTTAAGGGCCAGGCACCGGGCAAATTGCCCAGCTGTGAAGATGATTTTGCCCACCTGGTAAAACTTGACCAACAAGAGGAAAGTTTTGTTTTTATTATAAAGGGAAAGTTGCGTGTTATTGGCTAAAGGTTATGATTATCATGGTATTAAACACAGAAAATTATGTTTTATTGCTTCACATGCAGGTATGTTAACTGGCATTATAAAACATATAAAGAAGCCAAAGCTGAATGCTATATATTGCACTGAAATAAAACACTCAGTTGACAGTTATTTGAAAATAGGTTAGGAACTTTTGCCTACAGCTTTTGCTTCCTTCATTTATGTTTCTCTTGTTTTCTCAAATGCCTACTGTGTTTTACAACAGGATAATGCAGCAATGTAACTTAGGTAGAAATGTATCTCTTGTTCCTTTGTTTGTAAAATGCATGTATTTAATTATCACCAAACAGAAACTTGTTGGCAAAATGTATAGTTACATGTACTTTTAACATTCTGTTAAATAAATGATAAGGATCAGCAGAAATAATTACATAGGCCTACTCACAGGCAAGCAAGTAGTTTTGAACATTATTTAGGTGATTCACCCTTGTAACTGTCAGCGTAGTAAATATACATTCATACACAACTGTAAAAGTAGTTTTGACAGAACTTTTTTTCCTGAAAGATCAGGTCTTGCCCTCCATTTGGAGCCAGGAATGTGACAAGTTTAGGGTTTTTGCTTATGTTTGGTTTCTTTACTTTCTATTATTTTATCGTGTACATGTGCACTGCAAAAAGGGTGTAGCAAAGTTAGCTGTTTCATTTTGGGTTACCATAGGTCAACAAAGACCAAGGGGAAAAAAATCTATATTTTTACATACATGTATAAGGTTGATGATAATGGTTTTCTGTGAGGGAAATTAAGTATGTTCAAAGCAGAAATTTGCAATCGATAACTATTTTCTCAGGCAGATTTTCTTTTTTGATGTGTTGCAAACCTTCTCACTAGATTGCTTAAGTTTTTAGTTTGTAGAATAAATGGCAACCACAACTGTTCAACAACTGTTTTTGTAGCCGACATTTGCAACATCACTTAAACTAAATCATCACAAAAATTAAAAGGAGTTCTGGTGGCTCAAAATAATCATAATGGGCTTGAAAGCTGCAACTTATATTTTCATTTTAGATAATTTAATTAACAATTTCTTAACATGGCTATTGTTGCAGTGGGAAACATTTGAAGCTTGAGTTTTGTCTTTTATCAGACTAGAATGTAATATTTGTTTAATTGTTAGGTCTTAGTTGCATTTGGAATAGTTTTATTTATTGTCATACATATGTAGTTGCTATTTCAAGTGCAACTCTATAAGGTGAAAGAAAGGCACTAGTTGTTCAAAGCACTAGTTGTTCAAATATCTTATTGCACATGTATAATAAGCCACAGGGAAAAACATTTTTTGTACAGGGCCATATGCAGCAAAAAAAAAAGCATATTAAAACAAGCAATGCAGAAATAATACTGGCACTGGATTCCTCTGTATGGACTTTCTGTTTTAATTATGTTTCAATGTTAACATTTAGTGTTTGACAATGTTTTGGGGGTTGTGTGTGTTGTTTTTTTACTGGCTCATAGTACATGTACCTCTTATTTTGTACCAAACTACGTATAATTGTGAATAGTTTTTGTACATGTAGAATTTTTTTTGAGTAGCATGTTAGTTTATTCACTCATTGGTCTCTTTACTGATCATATCATGGATGAAATAATTTTATAACTTGGCCAGCTGGGGATTGTATGATATGATTATAATTCTGCGTGCAACTGTTTGGCACAGTTTATTGAAAGGTTTTTTTTTGTCTCCCTCTAGTTTCTGAAATACCACAACGTTTTTAAAGAAAGTCTGGTATCTGGTTTAAAATCCCCAACAATGAAAGTTTCAAAGTTTCTACATGAAGTAAAAAAGGAAATATTGAAATATGTTTTTCATATACTGGTTCGTAATTAAGCTTTAAAACATCATAACAAATCAAATTCATTTCATTTTAAAGTAGGGGGGGTGGGCTTATATCTAGGGTGCTTATATTTGAAGGCTTATACAATGTAATAATGTGTAATACATGTAATGTGAGAGCAATACACGTGCTTTATGCGTGTGTAATGCTGCAATCCCTTTGACCGGTACTGTACATTTTGTTTACAGGTACATGTAGATAGGCTTATAAGCAACCGTGCTTTCAAGTGGCAGTTTACAGTATGGAAAAAAGAAACAAATGATGAAAATGACTTTCTCCTAGTTGTATGCTAGGCTCTACATGTACAGTACTGAGCTGTCATTAACTTTTGAGTCACTCATAACAAACTTGTTATTTTTTGGGTGAATTGTGGCAAGAACAGGCAAGTTCAGCCGTTATTGACAGTCCTGCATGTATATGGCATAATTATACAGCGTAACATAAAACTGTAATAAAGCCATTTTTATTTGTGCTGGTGTTTTTTTCCACAAAATTTCATGGTCTTTGTTTGCTACCACGAAACCATTTTTCATTAAATTTCTAATGCTAGGGTGAAATTTGCTCTGTTTGCCCATGGGTAGTACAGTGCAATGCTGGGAACTTTTGAATTTGGCATGGAGACCTCACACCATGTGGTCATCAGTGGCTGATCTAGGGAGGGGCCCAGATTGCCCCCCCTTATTTTGGGTAAAAAAAAAAAAAAATCACAGAAGGAAGAAAAGCCAGCAGGGCAAGTAAAAAAAAAATACAGCCCCCTTAGCTCATGGTATGGATCTGCCACTGGTCATAACATAAAGAATGCCAGTTTTCTTATCCTTAGCTTACAGAATTTCTGAAATTCAAACATTCATACTCTGTTCATCTGAAGTCCACACATGTGTAGGTGAAGAAATTTGCAAAATGTAAGTGTAATTCTTTCCTTGCAACTGTTGGCTCAAAACTGCATCGAGAGTTGTTGTTATTATTATTTTTGTATGGTGCTTACATGTACTACATGTTTATCATTGTTGCTATTGTTGACTTGTAGTTTTACTTTGCTGTGGAACCTCATCTTTGGCAAGCATATAATTATAAATGATTTTATTTCTTTAGCAAATTTGATCCCACACATATGCCAGACTTGCTACAACTAATACATGTATGTGTGATCTTAGAGGATTTTGTCATACTAATAGTAAAAATCCTGGTGAAAAAATGATGATGAAATTAATTTTATCAAAATGTTCTCTTTTTTTTTTATTGTGCATGCAATCTTTTGGCAATCTTTTGGCAATCCATATCCACCAAAATTGATTGTGACTCATTTAAATTTTCATTTATTTGTTCAACACATGCATGGGATGTATTCTTGTCCAAAATATATATTTTAGTAAATCCATGTTGCTTTCTGTTCATTATTTTAAGTCAAACTTCAATCAGTGTTTCAATTCTTGAAATAATTAAAAAAGTCATAAAAAGTCATTTATTGTTTTTTTTTGTCTTATGAATTTTGTTTTTTGGACAAAAGGCAGCTGATGAATGACAGATGCGTTTTTGAATTTTATGTAGAACATTTATTTTCTCAATCTCATTTTATTTCCCCAGAATTTAAAATCATGTTAGTTATCAACATGATTTTCATGTTAATCTGCAGTGTGCTTGGTGCTATAACTTTATGTGGATGATTTCAACGAAAAATGTTTATTTTTAAGCTATAAAAATCTTTAGTTATCTCACCTACATGTAATATTTAAGGTTTGGATTATTCAAGGTGTGCACATAGCGAGTGATAGTTAATTTATTTTATTGGAATTGCATTTTACAAATATGCAAATTGTTCTGGAACTTTCAAGGGTTTTTTAGCCTCAGGCAATCAATTCTAGATAACAAAAGCTGGATCTTTTCAAGAAAATACAATAATATTTGTAGTATGTATAATGTTGTGGTTTAAAGTTGGTTTTTGGTGTAAAACCTGTAAAACAATTTTATTTTCATTTTTGTTGTTTATGAATATTATAATGATTGTGAGACTAAGGAAAATAAGAGTCAAACTGATTTCAAAGATGTCAAGTACAAAGTCAGTTATCATTAAACATGGAAATTAAGGTAAAACACAATCAACATGTCCACCGACACACTACTGACTTATCTGCTTGTTTAACTTTTAACTTTAATTTACTTTTAACTTTTACCTGTACATTGTGCATGTATGTTGGAAGGAGTGATCAAAGGACATTCTTATACCTCCCAACTCAAATACATTTTCCGATTGGAGGAGAACGTGTCATGTGGTGGATCAAAACTCATCAACTCCCCATAGCCTGCGTAGCAAGCGTTCCCGTACAAAGAGCTTTTCTGCATTCTGGCCACATGTAAATTAGAGCAAGAACAAAAATCGACAAAGCAGGGGGTGGTGGGGCGAGAAAGGGAACGCTTGCCTGCAAGCCCCTTGATTTGACAAATGCCCACTGGTTTTCACGGCTGAGTTCATTTATTGATTGACATCTTTGGTAGCCACGCAAAAATCACAATAGCGGATAATAGTGCTACATGTATCTACATACCCGTTTGGAGGGCAGTAATAAGTCAAATGTTCAGCTTAAGATCAGCTTTTCCTGTGGTTTAACTCTAACCGTTCATTAGCTTGACGGTCATTTAATTCTCATGCTGCTAGAAAAATAGTTAACTGTTGTATTAAAGAACCAACAGGAAATCAGAAGCCTTTGTTTGAAAATTGTCAGCGCGAGTAAATTCGCTTTTGCAGGGAAAACAACAACCAGTTGCTGGGTTCTAAAATTCGGTCTCACGTTATCTGGACACGAAAAACGACTCGTGATCAGAAAAGCTTAGAAGCGAGGTTGGCAAATAAGACCATCAAAGATTGGCTCTACTTCCCTGGTTCCTGTTTGATCTTTGCGCACGATCAGTAATTAAAACAGCAGCTGGAAGATTTTAAAAGCTTTCGCCAAATCCAGCAGGTAACACAGGTAACAAGTCTTAACCCCCTAGAAGATAATGTCTTCTGAGTAAATTCGAATACCATTCACCTCAAGTCTAATAAATCTTTGCTGGGGCTAGCACAATTTCACGAACCTTCCCCCACGGCATTGTGCAAGTCACACTTGAGTTATTCCTGGAATCAGTCAAGCAAATTTGATACACTTGTCAATCAAGATGGTCACACCGCGCGAATCAGGAGCCCCATTCGTGGGCAAACGGGTTTTTCAAAATCGAGGGGTTTGCAGGCAAGTGTTCCCTCCCATGCCTCACCATCCCCTGCTTTGTCGATTTTTTTGCTCTCGCTCCAATTTACACATGGCCAGAATGTGGAAAAGCTCTCTGTACTGGAAGGCTTGCTACGCAGGCTAAACTCCCTAGGGAGACAACAACTTGAACTTTCGACTCACATGTGTTGAGGTCATGCTCCTTAAAACTGCTGCAAATTTGTGAGCCAGCCAGAGTCAAGCAAACGATTTCCTCTCATTTTTTTTCTATTTTCTGAGTTGGGAGGTATAACAAAACACTTAATGACTGGTCCCGCGAGAAACAGTGAGTTTTGTTTCCCCTTGACCTCAATGTTCCCCGAGGTGAAGCGGAGGGGAACATTGAGGGTCTTGGGAAAACAAAACTCACTGTTTCTCTTGGGGCCAGTCATCAAGTGCTTAATATTCTTGACAGTTTCAAAAGTAATAGTTTATTTTCTTCATGTATCTAGTGTGTAGGGTTTATGGAATGTCCGTTATCGTATCAAGAAATACTGGATGCATATACTGTAAACAGATGGGATACAGGTCAACACTTTTGCATTAGGGTAACAGTTCCAGATGGATCAGTATTACTAAAGGTGAATACACTTGTTGTGCTATATTCTTTGTGGGAATTAACAGTATTTAGTTCTCCTCTTTTGTATTTTGATTTGTCGATTGGCATGCCAAATTCAAACAAGAATCATGAAATTGGGAATGTTGCACTGCTAAACAATGTGGGGACACTGGTATTATTTACAAGTACAGAACTGACTACATAAATTGAAGGTTGCATGCATACAAGTTCATAACCAACTGGTAGCATGTGGCTGAATAATTAGGACACAAAATAGTGCTGTTCATTTTGTCATGTTCATGGCAACATCAATAAGTTTACCAATAATATTTGTAAGATAACTTAAAATAAATTATGTTGATGTGTATATATAGCAATACTCAGCAGTTATTGTGTTGTTCATACATGTTGGTGTATTACCTAGACAGAGTACAGCTGTTTCGAGTGAGGTTGTCCAACAATAGTATAAGAAGTGTGTGCATGACAATGTCAAAAGGTGTTAGGGACAATGGTGGTTCATAGTTGTTTGACTGAAGCTCAAGGACCATGTTTCAGTGTAATGGAAGGAAACAGTGCTCACAAACACATGTATAGATGCTTTCCCCTTCCTTGCTTGTAGAAACAATGAGAACCCAAGCAATACCAAACTGTTACTGCCCATTATCCCAATTTTACATTAAAAAAAAAAAAAAAAATTGATATTTATTATATTTAATATTCTTTTGTGGAACAACCGTGTTGAAACAGCTTTATGAACTATTGTACATGTATTTATGTCTGTTAGCAGTATATTCTCAAAGTATTTTGGCCAAACAGGAACAGTCTGTCATGTCAAGCTGAATTATGTTTTCCCATTTAGGCATCCAATGCATATTTGAGAGATCAATGGCTTCACTCATTAAAATGGAAGGTATGATGTCTGTTTTATTTTGAAGAACTTATTGTCATTTACAACAGACTGGCAAACAATGTATATTTTGTTTAAAATATTAATTTACATTATAATAATGCATTTATTTAGTTATGAGAAAGATATAAATTCTGTTGTCACAAGCATCTAGAACAACAAAAAAATTCTCATTCCCCAATGGGAATCAATGCCATGACTTTCTGTACACTTGTCAAATGCTCTAACCAAATGTTCCAGCATGATTCAAAAGTGTGCAGTGTAATAATTTAACAACTGAAATGTGTGATACATTCTTCTTGTATTTGCAGGTTAACCTGTTAAGATACAAAAGACTTATATCAAAATCCAGTGATCCTGAAGGCCTAACAAAGGAACTCAGGGTATGCACTGAAATCGTTTGTTATCAGCAAGAAACTACATTACCAACTGCTTAGCCTTAGCAGGATCAGACTATTAATCTTTGTGCCATGATACATTTGTAATTCATAAACTGAGAGGAAAATGTTTAAGCTCTGGATGTGAAGAATCCATACTTACGGTACATACTGTAGCCTTGCGGGGCCAGATCTGTGTACATATAGAAGATTGTCTGTGTTTGGTCTTTGATGGTTTTGAAATTTCATCTGAGCAACAGCCAACAAGAAACACTGTATCTTTGTATGGCTTTGCACTGTATTGCCGATGTGAAATTTGTCAGGTCAAATTTTCTGGATAACTTTGGGTTGGGGTTGGGGGAGGGAGGCATGAATTGAAATCCCTTTGCTCAGGCAGATGCTATCAATCAATCAGTCAGTCAGTCAGTCAGTCAGTCAGTCAGTCAATCAATCACTCAGTGCATGGTTGTTGCATCTCCTTATTGGTGCAGGGTAACTAAATTGGTTTGTCACATGTTTCATTAACAGGAACTGGTTCTCTTCTCACTAACAACACCAATACAAGATGATGTAATATTCACAGTTCCTTTGGAGATGGTCTCAGATATTCTTGCACATGTAAGTACATGTCACTCTTGCAGCTGAAAAAAATTATTATTTTGGTTCACGATTGGTGCTTCCACTGTACTGTATGTTAGAGTGATCAACAGTAAATGCAGGTTGTATTTAAATAGTCTGTGAGTGACTGGTATATTGTTCATTTCTGGAAAAAAGGATGGAACATGACAAAATTTAATTTTTAACTGAGGTTAAATAAATGTGTTTTTATTGCAGCATTTTATCTCATTTTCTGACGAGGAACAAGAAAACATTATAGTGGTGAGTATGGATGCCAGTTAGTCTTTTAACGTGCAGCCGTTGTTAATATCCAGTTTGCTGGGGGACAGGGTGTTGCATAACAAGCTCAAACAGTTGCTGATAGCAGAAATTCACCCTGGGTATTCTGGTAAAGATGTTTAGTATACCATGGCACGTTTTGAATTAGACCAGTCTGTAGAGGCTTCATGTTCACTTGTCATTGATTTCTTTCTTTTCTGTATCTTACTTTAAGACACTTGCACCTGTTCTGGAATATGTTCAGCCCTCCCCAGAAGTGTGTGCTTTCTTTAGCAAGGTAGGTTTTTTTTTTTTTTTTTCGGTTCGGCTGACCATTCTTAAAGGATCTATGCCTCCAGTGTGGATCACATCTAAAAGTAACAGAAAACTGTGACTTCCATCTTCTCCATCTACATTGTATTTGTTTACCATCAATGCTTTTTTGTTATCCATCTTCAATTTGATTTCCATCACTCATATACATGTGTAGCTATAGCCAAGCAATGATATATTTTCTTGTATAAACAGTATCATAGACTGTGCTAAACACTTCAACACTTACATAAAGTGATTTATTTTATTTTTACAGGTATTTATATGTGAAGAAAATAAGTAAATCTTTCCAGAAATTTTGTATTAGTGATTCACTTTAGTTTGTTATTTGTTTTACTTCAGCACTGCAAAGGCCAACTTTATAATAATGAAGTATTAGATGTCTTCCTACCTGCTGTACACAGAATTCTTAAACACAACATGGTGAGAATTATCTCCTGTATATGCTTGAAGTAGTGTAGTAGGTTTTTGCTGACATGAGCAGGATTGTCACTTAGAGAAATTGCTAGCACAGGGTTGTGATGACATTTAATTACCAAGGACTAAAAATATTGCAGTGCAGCATACTTTATTTTATAGCTGTTGCTTGGACTGGAAAACTGTCACAGGGTACATGTAATGTCATGAAAATACTGTAGGTAGAACATTTGACACTTTAATAGGGTGCTTGTTAAATATAATTATTGTCCATACATGTGTGTGGGCCTCTGCAGAGCTCTTTCCGTTTTTTGTTTTTTTTTACCAGCTTAAAGGGGCTCAGTAACAGTTTGCACATATTGACAAGTTCAGCCTCAATTTTTCAAATTCATCGTTTGTAATCCGTGTTAATCTTCTCCACCCTTAGCCATTCTTGTTACTTTATGGTTTATCATTATCTCTTTGGTGTTTTTCTATCTTATTAAACTGTTATTTTCAGGTTTCCTACCATTTAAAGGCAATTTTGTATGTGGCCAAAATAACTCAAAATACGGTGACTGAGCCCCTTTAAGCTGGTCTTGTAAAACTGGCCATTCCTCTTTCTTTGTGCTCAAGGGTCTGTTTGCTACAGGATGGTGATATCTTTGTTTTTCTTTAACATTTTAGTTCTTACAAACTGACAATGTTATCTTTGTTAATTACCGGTGAATTGCTGATCAAAAACATGTGACTGTCCTTTTTAGGATTTTGGAAAATATCCACACCTCAGAATGTTCGTTCAAGATTATATTTATACATTGTTCTGTAAAGATGAAGATGCTGATGTTGTCAGAGAATTTGTTGAGAGGTGAGCAGTTTGTACTCCCTAGTCAAAGTCTTTCCTTCCTGTTTGGTTTCTTTTGTAGAAAGAGTTCCAATTCTTAGATAGGCTTGGCCCTTAGATGTCCTTGAAAAAGGCGATCTTCGTAACAACAGCAAAATACTGAAATGGAAACAGATTCATGTATAAACCCCCCAAGGGAAGCCTTCTACCATGGATACCCCAAAGAGTATCCCGGTACCTAACTCAAGAATCTCCCAATGATTATCATTTGCAAGTGAAATAATGTACTAATAATAAATGGTATTTATTCACTGCCAGTGTTCACAGTCCTGGTGCTGCTTGTCCACATCCTAGAGTCCTTCCAAATCTAGTTGCTGTTGTTCTTTCTGCTGTATACTCCACATTCGACCAAAGTGACAAATTGTAAGTTTCATGTTTTAGTTTTGTGTTATTTGTTTTATGTTTTGATCTCAAAGAGAAGCTCTGCTGTTGAGGTTTTATCACATCTTTTGTAGCTACAGTATTGTTTTAACAAACCACCACTCCTTGAGTGGTTGGTTGTCACTAATCTAAGATGAAAAGCTTTTTAAGGCTTTAATTGTCTTTTTCAAGTGAATGTATCTTTTGACTGCCAATTTTAAGTTACAGTTTCCAGTTCAAATGTGAAGGACAAAACACCTCTGTAGTAAACTCAATTTGAAATGAATACTTCAAAAATGATCCTGCTCTGTGTACAAATGTATATTAATTATATCAATTTTTATTAACACAACTGGCCAAGTTATAGGCTTCGTTGTTATGCTTGATGGATGTTTGTCTAGCAGCAGTTATTTTGTACCTAATGCACCCACTCCAACTGAACGTGTAGGCAGTATGTGATTTGAACCTTTTTTTGTTTCTCATTTCATTTACAGGCTTGTCAAATATGAAGAAATCAACACAAAATTCTTGCTCTGCTTCATGACAGTGATGGATACTATGTAAGTATATTGTATTTACTGATTGAACTTCATCCTCAGAGACCCAGGGGCAGTTAGTTGGGGCAGGAGGAAATAAATCGGGCAAAAATTGAAGTGTCCCAGGTTTACAAGTAAGGCGGGAAAATCCTTACTTGTAAACCTTTGTCACTTCAATTTTTGCCTGATTTATTTCCTCCCACCCCATCTAACTGCCCCTGGGTCTCTGAGGATGACTGAACTCTTGCACGCCCCTAGAACTCAAAATACCCATTGTCCTTACTTGTTCCTATATCCTTTTCTATTTGTGTTACTGCTAAAGTTCCAAGAATTTATTGGTACATGTTCATGAAGAAAGTAACCACCAATTGATGTTCCCTTCTTTCCCATCAAGTTTCTGCTTGACAATATTGATGATAATAATAATAATAATGACAACTTTTGGTATGAAACTCAATTTCAGTGCCCAGTTTGAAGACTGGAGACCGAACCTGTCAACATTACTTCAACCAATTCCTTTCCCCAAAGAGTAAGTAATGAGAAAATTGTTGTTGTACATGTGAAAGAAAAAAATGAGAATTATCTTTTGAGCAGGGCAATGCCTAGAGAAAAAAAGAAAATAGTTGTACTATTGCCAAACAGCTTTTGCTTGGGAACTTTACTGTTAATTGGGTGAACCTGAAAACGAAAGCCTGGAATTTACTGTAGTTAAAAGTATTGTTATAGTTTTTAGTACTTACCCTTGTTGAAATTCATCTCTTGCAGAGCCCTGAAGAACGAGACATTTGTGCTGTAAGTGCTTAAACTTGTCAGGTCTCTAATGCCTTTTGCATTGGTTCACATCAGAAAGCAATGCATACACTGTATTGCTTTACTGATCATGAGTACAGGTTACCATGCACGCCGTTTCTTTGTTCAGGCATTCACTGATGCAAGAAAGAAATAAGTGGTGCCAAACCATGAGAAAAGTCCCCATTGTATATGTGGGTCTGTCACTCATTTCTCTTTCTTGTACTTATGAGTCCAAAGTAAAACTGCCAGCAATATAGACTAAGGACAGGTTATAAACTGTTTTAGTTTCTTTTGCATGCAAAGGGGTTATTGCAAATGTCATAACAAGTATACAGGTTGTGATGCCAGTGATTTTCTTTTTATCATCAGGTACATCAGCGCAGTGATAAAAGCATTTGCTGAGGATCAGCGGTGTGAGGTAAAGACATGTACATTCCCAGTGACTGATTCTCAACTGTACCTCGTTATGTTCCTGCCAAATTCAACTGACTTGTATTGAGAATGAACAATTAGCTAGAAGTCAATACACTGAGTCTGTTTTCTTTGGTGTTATAGGTACATCAGTCGATCCTTCCTGTCAGAAAAGGCAAAGATGGCTGGATTGACATCATCTGCCCTGGAGGAGTCTCCTGTTTTGATGAAGGACACTTTTTCTCTCATGTGGTAAGGTCTTTGGCTTTTACGACTGTAATCTTACTCTCAGAAGGCTTGGCAGGGTCCTGATGTGTTCTTGAGCAAGACACTTTACTCTCACACTGCCCCTCTCCAGCCAGTGAACTGTTACCATCTACTTGTAGGGCAATCTGAAAAAAGTTATGAACGTTAGGTAGTCTGTGATTGTCTAGCCTCCAGTTCATGGGTAGCCAGATTCTCAGATGGTCCCAGTTTGCACGCTGTCAATTCCCAGTGAAACTGAGTGACCTTTGAGATTCGAGCTAATTTAGGGGGAGTTGCAATGCTCAAGTCACTTCATGTCCCCACCCCCCACCCCTCCAAAACTCCAGGTAATTTTCCAGAGGTGTTTACTTAGCCGGTGGACTTGTTCGTGGTCAACTGATGCCGAAAGCTTACACTGCTCTACCTATTGAATTTCAGATGTCACGGTTGTTAAATTGTTGTGGGAGAAGGAAAAAGACTCTTTTGGACCTCAAAGAATCCATGCTTGGGCCTTTCATGCTTCTTGCGTTAAGGGGTGACAGCAGTTTTATTCAGGTAAGTGCAATTATTTATAGAGTATAAATTCAGCTGGTAAGAGTGGAATCAGGTCTTGGGATACTGTGTTTCAAGTTTCTTTTTTCTTTCTTCTTTCCCCTTTAATCCCAGGTTCATAGCTCGAGTCAATTACTTTATGTAGTCCTTGAGCCAGAGGATGAAACCTTAGTTTGTGGCCATTAAAATGAAAGCTATTGAGCTGGCCCCAGTTGTTCGAAGGCTGGATAACGCTATCCACCGGATAAATCACTATCCAATGGATAAGTGTTAACAAAACAAACCACGCTATCCACTGGATAGGGATTTATTTGGTTGATAGTGTTATCTACCTTTCGAACAACCCGAGCCAGTGCTTTGACTGATGTGGTACTGTTTATCGTACTGTTTAAGGTGGTTCTAGCTTTTGAGTCTGTGTATATAACCCTAGTGTGTGACCAGTCAAGTGAAAGCTATTGAGTAGTACTTTCATGTGGTAGTGTTTATCATGCTATACAAGGTGTTCTTACCATTAAGTCTGTGGACGAAACCCCAGTCTTGATTCTCAATCGTTTTCCACAGACGCTGTCGTTTATGTTAGAAGTTGAGGTCCTACAAGACGAGAATGAAAAATTGCAGATTATATCGACATTAGAGAGCACGGAGGAAGGAAAAATGTGTTATGAAGCTCTCTGTCAGAAGTAAGTCTAAAACGCGTGCAAATAGTCACTGATTTACTTGGGATCAAAACCTAACTTATTGTTCTTTATATTTTAGGAAAGCCAAGTTCCGACAAATGGTAAGTAACTTATTACTATATAAAGTTCTTTTCACAGTGCCGTTCCTATTTTGTGTTTGATTAACTGTAAAAACGCTTGGATGCCAAAAAATAGTGGTTTTTTTTTCTTTTTGCAGCAGGAGAAGGGTGGACCAACAGTCCTGACTCTACCAACAAAATCAACGGTAAGTTATTAACATAAGCTTAACCAACGGCAACGATAACTGGCGATAAGCAACTGAAAAGATTTTATTGAATAATAGCAGGAACACCACCAACAACCCTTCTTTCTCCGTTTATGCCTGCTATGCAGGATGTAAGAGCAGTAGTTTATACTTTTGCTTAATTATTTACACTTGTACTATAAATACGAACGTCAAATGTTGACAGCCTTACCAAAATGACATAAAGTTTTATTCCAGTGAAAGGGAAGGCATGCTGCTGAAATAGTGTCATCTATCCTCAAGTCGTTGTGCTATGCTTTCACTGTAATATACATGTATTCTCCTGGCGTGTATTTTAACGCAATGTTTTTGCACTTCTACAGGATGACGATCTGGCTCGACTGCTCAAGTCTGGCTCATTTGGGAATCTTCAAAGCCTTAACCTTGCTTTCACGCACGTGACAAGTGCGTGTGCTGAATACTTGGTTCAGCTGCCAGCCCTGCTGCACTTAAATCTCTGGTCAACACAGGTCAGTTGAGTGGAACCCATTACGAAGGCTATGCCTTAAATCGATTCCATAAGTGGCGCCGAATTCGAATGACAATACCATTATAGGGTAAAATAATCCGTTGTCTGGAATCAGAAGCACGCGGGCAAGATTTTGTAATGTACTGTTGTTCAAATTTGGCTCGATTTATGCAATCGGTTTGTGCTGACCTTATGGTTAGTGTATAAGGTTTGGTTGCAGACATTATGATGGGCTCTTGGGTAAAACACTTAAAACTCCCTTACAATGTCTTCACGTAAAAGCAGCAGATTGTTAGGTTAACCGGGGAGGGCCCTGCTATGGACTTCCATCCAGGGGAGCGAGTAACAAAACTCTTAGTCACCAACGTTTTAAGAACCGAGATATGCTCCGGCGACATTGATCACCTGGCTTGTGAGTAGTCTTTACCTCTGCCCTCTCCTTGGTGAGTTCCGTTGATTATTATTGGGTTTCTTATGGAGTGGGGAAATGTACACTAAATTGTTAACTTTTTTTTTTTTTTTTCAGTTTGGCGACAGAGGTCTTCACATGGTCGCTGAGCAGCTCCACAACTTAGAGTCCCTGAATCTCTGTGAGACGCCCGTGACGGACGATGGTCTGTCATCCTTGGTAATCATGTCCAGTCTCCGCAACTTGAACCTCAACAGCACCAGACTCTCACCGACAACATACGAAAAACTCAAGGTGAGTGGTCTATTATTGACATTAGAGTCGTTTTTTTTTTCGATTGCCACTGCTCAACGTTTTGATTGGTTGGAAAAAGCACCCGGACTTTTTTTTCAACTAATCAGAACGAATATTTTTTCAACCAATCAGGTAACGAAACAAATCGTTAGGTTCACGCGACCTCCCTCCCTTGCAACACATTACACGGTTTTGTTATTTCAGTTTAGAGTTTAGGGTTAGGGTTAAGTAAGATCGGTGGTTGATTCAGTGTCAAAAGTAATAATGTTTTTGTTGTTTTCTGTTCTTAAGAAATTACCGAGACTAGAGGAATTTGATGTGAGGTACACGGATGTTTGACTTGTGAATTCTGCTAAGTTTATCGCCTACGTGCCTTATGACAAGAAACAGTAGATGCATCTGTGACACGTCACGCAATCATTGAGACCCTGGTCTGTTCACATTAGTTACCAGGGTCCCCTGACGCCGTCTTGGTAGCTCGTCCGTATCCTTGGAGAGGCTGGAAACTAACACTAGCACAGAGTCGTGTAATATATTCTTACAGTTGATTTTGTTGCTTTGCGGTCAACAGTTTTGTAGAGTAGGTTCTAAAATTATTATTATTATTTGTTCGAAGCTCAGCAGAAACAAGAGAATTAACGCAAATAGTTGTATTGTACAGAGATCTATATATTTGTGCTGTTGTGGCACGTTGTAGATACAAATGCTGTTTGGTGTGAACGCCATTCTTTATTTCATTAAGGGTTATATCATTCCATTTCCCTCTTCAGTTAATAAGTCGTGTGATGTTTCCTGTTTGTGGTACAGTAGGGGGTTGGGAATGAGTAGACACACTGGTAGCGACCCACTCGGGTCCAGTTCCTCGTCTAAAACTTTGCGCCTGCGACCATGCCACCGTGGCGTTCAACGTGGAATAACTCTGATTAGTTCCGTGGCCTAAAAAAATCTGCAATTTGTGTTTGTCGTCAGCGGGTAAATTATTTCGTGGGAGAAGCGTGTTTATGTTGCTAATTTTAAAGTTCGAAGGCTTGTTTTGTTGAACTACGTTGGGAAAAAGGAGAGAGACTCACAGTTAATCTAAAATGAGAGACGTTTATGTAATATAGCGTCAGAGGAAAAAAATAACTGTGTAAGTTGGATATTTTCTGAGAGAATCGACTTGGTTCTGTTGCAAATTAAACGTTTTTTCATGCCGGTAGAAGGATCATTGCAAATATAACAAGTGGTAAACCGTATTGTTGTGTTAATTTGTGTTAAAACATAGAATCAGCCGATCATTGCGGAGTATTCTCAGGAACACCAGAACGAATATAATTATAATCTAGGGCCTTCGAGCAACAGGGGTTTCAAAAGTTTATAATTAGTTTATTATTCTTTTTAAAACAACGGCTCTGTAGTGGAAGTCTAGTGTGTCCATACTTCCTTTGAGAGATTTTGCAAAACCTGAGCCTCTAAAACTTCTCTCTTCTCGTGCTTTATTTATCCTCACGCCTGAGAAGTCAGAATAAACCTCCGCCCCCCNAAAAAAAAAAAAAAAGAATCAAAGAAACAAATTCATGACGCAAGGGATCCATGTAGTGGCTTGTGATTGGTCGTTTACATACCCGCGAAAATCTACGTTATGAGGGCGGATTTATTACAGAATGCATTTTCAAAAAGAATCGGGAAAAATGTTTACCATGTGTCCCAGGTTTTTAAAACGAGAAAATATTTCACGCTGAAACTTGAAATTAGACGACAGCCAGTGATATACACCGAAAGTTAATTTGAAACCCCTGTCAACAGTGAACACTTTTAGGGATAGTGGAATGGTGCATTTCTTTCTGTGAAAGCCTAGTGTATAATGCTTTTTTAATAGTGAATGTTCTACCAAGAGGCCTAGCGTATCAGTGAAAGTGGTGGCAGTCCTTGGCCTTTCCTACACAAATTCCCCAGGTGAATAACAGACAAGCATTTTTTTTCTCCGAGTGATCTGTTGCCAGCTGTTGTGTCTTTCCTGTATAACAAGGCCCAGGTCCGCAGCTGCTTTGGTCTCCAGATAAAATACGCCCACGTTCTTTATCACGTGAAACGAATCTTACCTAGCGCAATATCTCGATGCCACTTCCTGTTCCGGTGTTCTTTGGTTTGCATACCTTGAAATGTCTATTTTTGGCTCGAAAGAAGGTTTTAGATAAATCTATGCATCTGGTAGCAGTTGTTTTGCTAGAAAACTGCGCATACTCTGAACTTTTTCCCGCTGTGTTCATCTGACTGTGATTTCCCCACTTCTTGGCCAATCGGGAGCCACTTATGCCTGCGAAGCACATGTTAGTGCACGTGCGGTTTGTGGTTGGCTGATTGGCTCAGAAATTTGGAGTGCCTTGAACTAAAAGCAAAAATCAAAAACTTAGCGAGGTTGACAAGTTACGTTTCACCACTATTGACAATGTTCTCTCCTTTCAAATAGTCCAGCTTCGAGTTAACCGAGACCGCTGAACAGAAAGAGTAAAGACTCATCTGCACAGTGTTAGTCTCGATCTGAGTGAAGTATAAATTATTCAATACTGTTACAAAAGTGATGAAGGACATAAAGCGTAAGGTGAAACAATACACAGAGTTGTCAATTCTCTCACTGTTATTGGCGAATATTTCAATTCAGATAGAGCCTGTGCACAGGTGCTTTCTTAGTCCTTTATTCGGCCATGTTGGTTTCTCGAAATTGGACCATTACTATCTCTTTTCAAGATTCAACCATGAATGAAACTAGAGGAAAGTTCATTTCGCTTTGAAACCTGTAGATCATAGCTTCATTGTATAGTCAGTATTTAGAGTGCTATGAATATAACTGCTATTAGTCTGACAGTACCTGCTCATTGTACATAAAATACGCCACATGAATATAATTAAGTTCCATTTGTGTATAATAATGAAGGAATTGTAAAATTGTTTTCCTTTCTCCTTGTTCTCCCTTTGTGTAGGAGACACGAAGTTAAACTTAATATAAATTATTACTTCTTTATCTTTCTTGTGAGTTAAAAGTTACGTCGTAGGTTGCTGTTTGGACGTTTGAAACTTTAAAGTAAAGTTAATTTACATTTTTGGTGCCTTTCGGTTTAGGCTACTTCAAGCATTATTTCAGGTATCTCGAAACATTCGTGGTTCATAAAAAAAAGAACTTAGTATCGGCTTTACTTAATAGAACAGTACTGGGACCTTTCTATTGTAGCCCTGGGAAGAGATGGGAAGCTGTTGTCCTGTAAATGTAAGATAGATAGATCGCGAACAGTCCCCTTATTTTTTGCGCTTTGTGTTTTGGACTGCCAGTCTTTTCAGCGGAAAAATAGCAGGAATGTTCACAGTTAGTAGCTAAACCGTCAACCATGTAAATTTGCTAGTGCTACGTTCATGAATGACTTGAAATAAAAGATAATAAATATTATCCATGCCAAAACACAATTGTCCTTCTCTTACTGAATTGTTAAGTCGCCCGTCAATCTCCGCTGCAAGTTTCCTGTTCCCACCACCAACTTGGAATCTGGTTAACATGGCAATTGCTGGATTCCTGGTGAGAACGTAGCTTATAATGGAGAGTTTACGTAACCGGCGGGATTCCTCAGATCGCTGTTTCGGGAATGAGCCCGCGCTCATCCTCTGAGGCCGAGAGAGCGACGGAAATCGAGCCGAGGATTTCCTTGTGTGCTTTTTTTGGGCGGCTCAGAGTAGTCAAGATGACAGAATTTTCCCGCTTGTGCGGGAATTCCTGCCTGGAAAATTGAATCCTCGAAGAAAACGGGGTGGTTAATGTACAGCAACACTCTCCCTTAAAAAAGTGGTGACTGCTAGATGTTCCTCTCCCCTCCTAGTTTTTTTTCTTTTTCTTTTCTTTTCTTTGATTTTGTTTTTGTGGTTTACCTGCAACTTTGAATTGAGGAAATTCTGCATTCGAGCCAAGTGGCTCATCGGGCCGGAGCTTATCCCGGTTTCAGTAGCGTGAAGTGACTAGGAGTATTTCTACTACCCCCTGGATGGGATGCTAGTCCATTGCAGGGTTACCCCCAGCATTAAATTAAATACGCCGTTATCCATTAATACACCAGGGCTCGAACCCGGACCCCTCGCTCCGGGGTCGAGCGCACTAACCAAGGGGCCACCGCGCCTCCCGAGAGGAAAGTCATAGTATAAAGTTATAGAAAAACTGGTCCCAATACTGCGTATCTTTTTGATTACCCCGTTACTCTCTCTTCCGGGGGTCCTTTCCAACATCGAATCCTTGGCAACCTGACCCGAGCGCGTATTATTCTCGTCTCCATAACCCTCGAATCTTTTTAGCAGGTGAGCGACATTGCCTCCTGGGTCGAGAACAGGTGTGTTCAGAAAAGCTACGTTATGAAATTGC